TGGAGAACAATGTGTCCTCTGCTGGCTTGTGTTCCCCATGGAATTTTTTTGGGGGGGCCGCAGCTGGAATATGGGGGGGGGGGGTGTTACTTTACAGTAGTTACTTTGAAGGTGACAATGCTTAGATTTCCGTACCTTATTATTACTAACACATTAACTATATTACACACAACCAAACTACAAGTACTTCTAGACCAGGGTGGGGAATGTCTGTCCCCAGGAAATCATCGATGTCAGCTAACGTCACAAGCCCAGTCAATGAGTAGCCGTTCCAGCCATCCTAGTAGGTGGGTGAAGGGTGTGACCAGCAGGGCTGTGGATGCTGTCATAAATATCCAAATGCAAACATAAATCTCTTTGGCAGAGGGAAGGTCCCCATGCCTGCACCAGATGAAAGCAGCTCAGCAAGCTGGCATCATGTCTACTGTTGACTCAACAAGAAGGACTTACTTCCCAGCTCCTCCACCGAAACACAGACCAGCAGAGTTCATTCCTGCCAGGACAAAGTAGCCCCGAGCCACAGGCGATTCACCCATGATGCACCTCATATCTGGCGTGAAGGTCTCGGGGCAATTCACCAGCTTCAGGATCTCTAGGGTCTTCAAGTCTGGCATCCTCCGCAGGAGGGAGCTCAACAGAGGCTCTGAGCAGTAAAACAAAACAAAGCCCTGAACTTAAACGGAATACAAAGGCTTTCCCACTCATATACTTCTTTTCATGCCTCTTCTAAGAGAAATTTTCTGAGAAGAGCCAACTAGGCCATTTGTCAGAAAGCAAAGTGCTTGATGGAGTGAGAGAGCACACGTGCCAAGTGCTTGGCATGAAGACTGCGAAGCAAGGACGCTCTTTACAAAAGCAAGGAACTACAGACTGGCAAATGATGCACATCACAGGACAGAATAATCTCGAAGGGGTCAACACAAACAGAAAAAACATCTCCTAGAGACTGCAACAAAAGGCACTATTTTCCCCGAGGGACTAAGTGTGAGTGAAAGATAGCTCCCCGCCCTGTTTTAAAGCAAGCCCATCACTGGAAAGAATCCAGTGGGAGTATGTATGGATTGTGATAAGAGTTGTATGAGCCCCTATTAAAATGATTTTTCTTAAAAGGGAAAAAAAAAAAGAATGAGCCAGATAAGTTCATAGCTGCAGAAAGTGGTGGGTAGCTGAGGATCCCTTGTACTGTTTTATTCATTTTTAAGTGTTTGAAAGGTTTGATAAAAGATTTTTTTTTAAAAAGGTTTATTAAGGGGAAAAAGTCCACAAAGGAGATACAATTTTCATTACAGGTTCTTTGCTACCTTCTGAATTTTGAACGTTGAGTAATAACTATTTAGTAAATAAAATTAAGCTGAGATAGTGTAAAAGCCCAAATTAACAAAACAATTCTTTATAAAGATCTCTCACCTAAAATCTCAGCAATGATTCAATGTGAGAAGACTAATAGCTCAGATGTCAGTAAACTTAGAGTTTAGTTCCCTGCATCTGCTACTTTAGAATGTTCACTGTGACCACAATTGTACCTCACAGGATTGCTATAAAGATCAAATAAGGAATGATCCTTCACAAAGGCTTTGGAAAGTCAAAAAATGAACAACAATATCAGACTTTATTGTTATACTCTAGTAAACATACCAAAGTGATCCCAGTCTTCCTGTAGATTCTGAATCTCCAGCTGATTCTTGCCTTCAGTGAAAATTGGTTTTGGATTCTTCTCAAAACCCCCAGACAAGATGCCACCCTGCCAGTTGCGGATATAAATCCTCCCATCAGGATCTACAATAGCTGAGGAAAAGAAAGGAGAAGGGAGTGGGGTGTAGAAGAGAAAATGTGGGTTTAAAGACAAGCCAGCTTTCTAAATGGACTAAACCAAGACACAAAACAAAAACACCTGTCGATGGCTTTGTCACTGAAAGAGCACTCAGTAAGCACAGGCATTCGTTAGCTCTCAGAGACCGTTCCAAAGCAGGAGGGATGTGCCCTCCTCAGGTGTGCAGTGGAGAGAGTGCCAAGAAATCTTCTCAAGCCCTCACAGCCCAGTTACAGCTGTCCACAGGCCGAGAGTGAGACGTAACAGGAAAGGTGGGTCTCAGTGGCCATTCTTGGGATTAACAGAACCAAGCTCACTGCCATTGAGTCCACCCTGACTCGTGGCAGCCCCATGGACAGAGGAGAACTGCCCCTGTGGGATTCTGCAGCTGTACATCTGTACAGGAGCAGAAAGCCTCATCTTTCTCCCTCAAAGCAGCCCAACTTGCAATCCCCTATGTCACCAAGACTCCAAACTGATCGCAAAACTCTGTCTGATGGCATTTGGAATGACTTCACCACAGCGGTTTATAGCTTACCTAGGACATTTCTGAAGTTTATAGCACTCAAGCCAAAAATGCTTCCTATCCGAACATACTCAATGACCTCCATTTTGGGACAAAAATTAGCTTTCGAAAAATTCTTTTTTTTCCCCCTTAAGCAGAATGCCTGCTCTGGCCATCTTCTCATAACCAGTTATTAAAGGAAAGTTAGCACTGGGTCCACCTCCCTGTAACAACATGCTCCAGAAAAGACTGTCGAGCACAGTCGGTCTTTAGCAGAAAGTCTTCCTTTTGAGAGGGCAGATTATTGGCAAGTAAACAAGATTAAAAAAAAAAAAGTGCAGTTCCTCACTTGGTGTGTTGCTCTGCAGAGGGGTCTCCAAGGGGCGAGTCAGGAGGTAGAAGTGTTCGCAGGCATGTAGCGGGATACTAACCGGCTCCTCGTTGGACAGACCCAGCTCGTATGCCCACTACAAATGGACAGATTGATTTGTGGGTGGGAAGAGGAACAGAAATACAAGTGAGCAAGCTCAGCCTCTTGAAAAGTGTTTAGTTTCAAGTGGCCTCTGTGCACTCTTGCTCCCACATCAGGGGAGGGAAGCCAAGGTGCAGCCTGCGGTACTTCAGTCGTATGGATGGGAGCAACACGGTCCATTTGAAACCATAAACTACTGTCAGATCATAGGAAGATAAGATTTTACCAGGTAGTTCAGGGAGTTTTCAATAACATGCCCAGTCTTAACGACAGACTCCAAATGCCAATTGTTACATGAACTTCACATGGCAAGTTTTTTTCCAGGTAGATGAAGCTTAGTGTTCTACAAATGCAATCCCCAATACCATGAGAGAACTAAAGATTTTACTTGCAAAGCTGTGGAATGAACCCTAACACTACGGTAAGACCCAACGTCAATGGCCGACGGTCCTGGCCTTCCAATTCAGGACAGCACAAGCTCATCCAGTATGAAAAAAGAAATGGTTACATTTGTTTTAAGAGATAAGTAAAGGTTTCTGATTTAGAGTCCAAGAATTCTGAATTTTTTTTTCCCGATTAAAATGAGGAAAGTGTAGTCCCTGAAGTTTATTTAGTCAGACAAAAACCTTGGAGACAAAAGTTAAGAGAGGAAAACCAGCAACCCTGTGTTGTTGCTAACCTACCTGACCAGCACAGTTGACGAAATACTGGCAGTCAATCGGTCCTCTATCTGTCTCCACACCCATGACTTGATTTTTTTTTACTATTACGTGAAGAACAGTTGTCCGGTCATAGATCTGAACATCTGTTTCAAAGTAAACAAAGAGTTGGTGAGTCAGCTGATGTTCCAAAATGAAGTCATCTGCAGCAGATTCCCAGCCCATAAGCAGCAGTGGGAAAACATGGTCACTGCCCTAATTAAAATAATAATAATAATAATAATAATAATAATAATAATAATAGTAATACAGAAAAAACCCTAGCAATCACGTCCGTGACACTATAAAAACAGACCTTTTCCCATTTAGAGCAGGCAATTTAAAAAAGTATTTTGGTATAGAATAATTAAATGCCACAAATCACAAAAGGGTTAAAGAAGAAGAGTTCATCTTAAATCCTAAACTGCCCACCCGATAAATCAGCTCACACAAAGCTGTAACACTTGGGTCTTGATAAGCTCTTCCCTCACTTATCTCAATGCTGGGGCATGGTTTCAGCTGTGCTTTAAGTTCCTCAGACAGGTTCTAACCTTGGAGCATCGCAGGCTCTATGGAAAAACTAGTCCCTTAAGTCTGAAGAGCATTAATCAGCACCAAAAGAAGTTTCCTGAAACTTCAATTAAGAAAAATGTGGGCCTGAGAGAAAATACTCATGGGAAAATATGATGGGAATCCCTGCCCCCAAGCCATGTAAGATCTAGCGTTTAAAAATAGAAACCAAATATCCCAAAGAGAATAATTTCTCCAAAGTCAAGTTGGTGTCACTGCTTGTTGGGACACTTTCTTACACAACCTTTTCCTTCTTTACCCACCTTAAGAAAGAAAGCCCTAAAAACCCCGCTTACTGTTTTGGGAGGCAGCACTTGCCAAGGCAAGAGCCACATCAGAAGAGGACATGATGGCATCCTCAGGGACATGCAAGGCTCCCACTAGGTCGTGCACATTGAGGAGAGGGTGAAGTTCAGCCACTTGCTTAGAGGTGATGATCTCAGAAGGGATGCCCATAACACTGCCACAGAACACAAAGGGACAAAGACATTCGCTGGCCCCTTGGTCAGGTTCACGCAAATTCAGGACAAGCTTCTAGCCTCATACATACTTCAGCCTAGAGTTGATGCGCTTCAGGGAGATCAGCCGGTCCTGGGTTTGGGCCAGAGAGATGGAGCCCGTCCTCACGTAACCTGTCAGAAAAATCAGAATGAGCTGAGGCCAACTGAGTCCTCAGACCGGAGGGATGGAAAGTACAGCCAAACAGTAGACAGGTCTAAGTGGGGAACAATAACAACCGGGAGGCAGGCACTCCTTAGACCAACAGTTCTCAACCTTTGGGTGGAGACCCCTTTGGGGGTCGAACAACCCTTTGACAGGGGTTGCCTGATTCATAAAAGTAGCAAAATGACAGTTATGAAGTAGAAACGAAAATAATTTTATGGTTGGGGGTCACAACATGAGGAACTGTATTAAAAGGTCTGTGATATTAGGAAAATTGAGAACCACTGCCTTAGACTAACCAAGTATTTGGGATCAAAAGGGCAGCATTTCTGTAAGGGCAACGTTGAGAAGGTAAGAAGGCTTCCGAAAGGAGGAGGACTGGAAACTGAAATACAGGGAGAAGGAGAAAACAGGATGAGCGATGTCACATTGCAGCAACTGCAGTCAACAAGATGAAAAAAATGTGAATGAGTCGTTGAATGGAAAGCTAATTTGCTTTGTGAACCATCACCTAATTCACAATAAAAAGTTAGGAAAATAAATACTAACAAGAAATAGGATAACTGAAATTTAAAAATTTCTCTTGAAATCCTCATATAAAAATATGCCCATCACTGGCAAGACATGGGTTGGCTAAATGAAATTTTAGAGGCACATGACTCTGTAGGCCAATCACACCCTGAATTTTACCTCAAAAATGACAAAAAGCTCAGCAGCTATTTTCTACTCCACAACACAGATTACATACAGGAGAATGTTAGATTCAGGTTACACATTTCTAGCAGGACAGCCCACAGGGATGACAGCTCCTTCTGAATACGTCACGACGACAGTTTGTCCCCTCAGTGGTGAGAGTCACTGGGTTACGGTGTGTCTGGCAGATCGCCGATGCAAAGGTGCTATTTTCCTATTGTAATTGATAGGTAATCTGTGGACGGGGAGTGGCCATGTGTCTGCTCCTGCACGGTACTGCGCAGGAGTCGTCTCTGGGTGGGAGAGACCACTAAGCACTCACTGCCAGCTGAAAGAAAGGCTGGTGGCTGACACGCACCCAGAGTTGCTCTGGAAGAACAGCCTAGCAAACGGCTTCCGAAAGGTCCGTGGAAACCCTATGGAACACAGTTCTACCCTGACAAACATGGGCTTCCTTAAGTCAGAACTCATCTGACAACAGCTGTACTGCATCAAATCATGTTCCTCCAAGACACAACTACGTATTATAAAAGCTCAACAAATCACCCTGTAACAAGCTGAAAGCCCTACTATTTTCATACAGAGCCTTTAAAGTTTCAACTAGAGCAAATCTATCATGTAATTTTCATGGCTACAGGTTGGTTAACAGCCATGAAATAGATTTAAAAAAACCCCACAACTGTTCATTGTGCATTGTGTGAAGGGTTACAAGCAGGTTAGTTTTAAAGGTCCTTGGATAATTTTTTTTTGTTGCGGGGACCAGGGTGGGGGGTGGGGCACGTGTGTGTGGCAGTGCTGGTGGTATAATTCCAAACTTAGAAAAATTGGAAAACTAAGACAAATCACTCTAGATACTCTCTACCCAGATTCAGCCGTTGCTTGTATTTACTATCATTCATATTCTCTCTACTCACACCTACACCCAGACACACACTCACCCACCCACACACACACCATTTGAAAAGGAGACGACACTGGGCCTGTATTGTCTTCATACTTCATACTTCAGTGTGCATTTCCCAAGAATAAAAACATCTAAAATCAAAAGCAGGAAATTTAATCTCGACACACTACTAGCTAATCTACTCATATCATCAATTGTCCTAACGGGTATTTTTCTATTTTTGCGTTGGCCTAGAGTTCTACAAGGCATTCAGTCATCCCTGAAACAATTGCACAACCTTTCTTTGCCTTCTTGACCTTGACATTTGTAAGGAGCACAGGCTAAGTTTTGTGCAGAATGTCTACATGTCATTCAAGTCTGTAAAATGGAAATGTGGTGTAAAACCTTATTTTATGATCAAATTTTAAACAATCAAAATCTCATCTCTTTATTAAAAATTTTCCAGTGTCACAGAATTCCCAAGCTGGCCGGCCAAGTACTGTAAACTGTGTTTGCATGAAGACACGCAGCAGTGTCACCTTAGTTCATACTAAGAAAGGGCTACCATCCTTTGTCACGATTAGTCTCCAATGATTTGTATTTGAATTCGGCCTGGCCTTCAAAAAGAGCACCCTTCCATATGTAAGTAAGTGCCCTGCATTTCATCACTGGGTCTTGCTATGCTCTTTTAAGTCCATGTGAGAGTGGACTCAATTCTGGGCTGTCAGCTCTTCTCCTGAGACTTCAAGCAAATCTACCCCTTGCAATGATTTGAGAGAAGCACTTTCTACCTTGTTATTATATGAGAACAGAGTATAGATCAGGATTCCTGTTCTTGGAAAATTTATTTCCAGCTTTCCCTAATACTATTTGGTATACAATGTTCTGTGTCCTTTCCCTCCCAATTACACAGACCAGGAGAAAAACACATTTATGTTCTACACCCAGAAATATGCTTAACAGCAACTGGTCATTTCAACTGCCATGCACCTGACATTTTCCCCTCTTCTTCGCTTAGGACAGTGGTTCTCAACCTTCCTAATGCCGCCACCCTTTAATATAGTTCCTGATGTTGTGGTGAAACCCCCAACCATAAAATTATTTTTGTTGCTACTTCATCCCTGTCATTTTGCTACTGTTATGAATCAGGCGACCCCTATGAAAGGGTCATTCAAACCCTAAAGGGGTTGTGACCCACAGGTTGAGAATTGCTGGCTTAGGCGGTGAGTACTGTCACTTACTAAGTTCAAATGAGTGAAATGTATAGGGAATGGCTCTGGGATACTTTCTCATCATTAAAGAATGGGATGGCAGGATCTGAAATGGTCATGAATATTGCTTAAATCCCTTCAATTGATAGACAGGGGAACTGACGACCGCTCAACAAACTAAATGACTGGCTAAGGGCATACCAAAGCTAGTGGCAGGGACTGGGTTAACACCTAATCTTAATTATCAACCCAAAAGGCAGGCTTGGTGCAGGGCCAGATACAGTACCGATGATAAGTCTGGAGAACCAGCATCAGCAGTTCCTGGCAGATTCTGCTTACCTGTCTGGATCCCTGTTTCTTGCTCTAACTGCTGGTAGAGTTTGTTTGAATAGTCTGCCATCTTCTGCTCAATGGTCAAGTGCTTCGTGGTGCTCAAGATGCCAGCACAGAACCTTGTAGAGCCAGCAGCCAGCCTAGAAGAGATAGAATAAGGAATGTCAATAGGGCAGTGTGGACCACACCAGGCAACACAGTCAAGAGGGGTGATACCACAAGGTGAGCAGTTCAGAACCACCCACCAGCCACTCTGGAAGATGAGGCTTTCTACTTCCAAAAAGATTTAGTCTTGGAAACCCACAGGGGCAATTCTTATAAGGTCTTACAAACAGCCTTATAGAGTTGCTATGAGTTAGAATCAATTCAATGGCCATGGGTTATATAATTTCTGCAGTGTTTCAATAGAAATTTAATATTAATAAAACCATCACTTGTAGTTAGCTATAACAATAAATAGTCTTCGTAAGCCCACTTTACATATGTTGATATACTTGTAAGGCTATAGCCCTATGCTAACTTACTTCTGAACCTTCTAATGAGCTCCAGTGAGAGCTGTCATCATTACTCCATTACTGCGATGCTTCAAACCACAGCGTTACGTCTGCAAGGGCTGAAAGCACACTGATGGTTTTGGTGCTGCTGATGTCACTGATTGGTCAAATGTTCTATTGTTTCAGCTAGTGCACAGTGTTAAGTAATATTTGTGAATGTATTATCAATAATTTTTTTAAGAGTGAAGTTGTAACTAAAGGAAAAGGAGAAAAATTTAAAAACTTTCTGCTCAGTTACTAATGTTGTTGTAACTAATATTATTAATTCAGCACTAGAAAAAGTTCCTGAAAAGAATTTTGTTAGTACTCACATAATATGAGAAATATTGCATCTAAGTAATTTACAAATATAGATATCACATATTACTTTTGTGATTGAAATGGATAACAAATACAACTAAGGATTCTTTATGGTCTAATTTGGGAGGAAGTACAGGGGGCACGTGACACCAATCTTGGTAAGATTACTGGATACCAAATACTGTGAGAGAGATTCACATTTGTGGAATGCAACAAATATAAGGCTCTTCATTTTACCACGTTTGAAATTTCAAAAACCTGATAACCTAAATGTTTGTCAATAAAGAACTCACTTGTGGAAAAACATAAGAGTTCATCTATACCACAGGTTCCCAGACTTATTTGCCCTACCACACACTTCTCAGAGCTAACTAACAGTAGTCACTCAGCACCTCCCTAGGCAGCGGAGAGCTTTCACACCAGAGCCACAACTCAGGATAAAGTGTGGGTCTCAGCTTTTGCAGTCCCTTCAAGCCCCTTCGACCGCCCCCTTGGGGAGACGCTGATCTATACAATACAATAGTGTGCAGCTCAAGAAAAATAAGCAAGCTTGTTAACGTGCCAACATGGAATAATCGTGCTGAAAAATTCAAGGTGAGAAACAGAGCTTAAGGTATCCTGCCATTTGTATAAAAAGGAAAAAACAAACATACATACACTCACATTTGTTTATACGAAGTGCGTTAAAAAGTCTGTGTAAAAATTGTTTGAAAAGACAATGGAATTCTTCCACAAATTTGATGAAGCCCCTGTACATGCAGAGAATGTATGTGGAATGTGCTTCGGCGCTCAGTTGCTAACCTCAGGGCTGGCAGTTCGAGTTCTCCCCATAGGAGAGAAAGGTGGCCGTCTACAGCCACACAGCACACGGGCCTGGAAACCGCACTGGGCACTTTCCCTCTGTCCTGTGGGGTGTTACGATCATAATTGACAGCAACACGTTTTTTTCCAAGTTTGGTTTTAAAAATACTTTCATTTAAACATAAATCATACAAGTTCGATTATTTAATTGATCATGTAAATTATAATTGATAAAATATCAACACACAAAATATATGTAAAAGATAGTCTCAACTCTGAATCATGTAACTGTGTTAGCTATTAAGAAGTAAATGCAGACTAAGGGAAAGGTGGAGGCAGGGGGAGGAAGGGGGAACCGGTCATAATGGTCAATGCATTACCCCCCACCCACCCCACCCCGGGGACGAACAACAGTAACATGGGTGACGGGAGACAGTGGTCAGTGTAAGATATGAAAGCAGTAATAATTTATCATTCATCAAGGGGGCCTGAGGGTTGGAGAGGGGGAAGGGAGGGAAAAAGAGAAACGGACACACCAAGAGCTCAAATAGAAAGTAAACGTGTAGAAAATGATGATGGCAACATATGTACAAATATGCTGGATACAACTGATGAACGGAACGTTAAAAGAGCTAGAAGAGCACCCAATAAAGTTATTTCTTTTTAAAAAGAAGTACAATTTAAAAATTTTAAACGTTCCCCAAGTTGTTGGTGACAACAGAGGAACAACACGCTCAGAAACGCTGAGGCCCAAAGACGCAGCTGTGCACGAGGCAGCCAGCCTTGAAGGCAGGTCCATTTCCCAGGCCATTTAGCACTAGGTAGATAGTCACCTTTGTCAGCATCCTGACACTTGAATTACCGGTACCTGTGTTTACTCTGCTGGTCTATTTCCTGTATTCAGTGTCAGCTCCCTAAAGATGGGGGCTTTGCTATCATCTCTGGTCCTCACCACAGCCACTGACAGATGGTGTTTAGGGCTCTGGGGATGGATGTCTCTGGATCAACATACTCCGTGGGTACCTATGACACTGAGCTCTGAGCACAGTGCATGCACTGCTAGGATCTCACAGACCCCGGGAAGCATCGTAAAACAATAACGGTTCAAATCCACCAGCACTCAGCAGGCTTCTGCTTCCATAAAGATTTACAGTCTTGGAAACCCTGTGGGGGCTGTTCTACTGTTTTCTAAGGTCACTAGCTTTACCAGATAATCGTTAAAAGCTCCCCAATGGATTCTCACATGCAGCCAGAAATCACTGATCTATGAGAGCCAAGAATGGGGATGAAGAGGAACAGAAATCTCGAAATGTTAAGTTATATACCTCCTAAAGTAGGGGCTGTGACGGAAACATTATGTATTAAACAAACAAACAAACAAACAAAAACCTGTATTGACTATTTCTGCTCTCAATTTAAAAACTTTGTGTAAAAGAAAACTATGAAAAAGGAAGTAGAGAAAGTGAGCAATCAGAGGACAGGCACTGCTGGTAAGAAAAGAATGACCTTCCCACTGGGCTCACCCGCTGAAGAAGTGACACCTGAACGTATGAGGGCATTTAGCTCTGCTAGGGTACACTCAACCATGGGAAGTCCTCACATCCACGATATTTAAAATGTGTTAGACCAGTGGTTTCTCAACCTTCCTCATGCTGCCACCCTGTAATACAATTCCTCATGTGATGACCCCCCCCCACCATAAAATTGTTTTCGTTGCTACTTCATCAGTGTCATTTTGCTACCGTTATGAATCGGGCGACCCCTGTGAAAGGTTCATTTGACCCCAAAAGGGGTCTCGACTCACAGGTTGAGAACCGCTGTCTTAGGCCCATCAATGAAGAGTAACCCACTGCTGTGGACTACGACAGTACATAAGGGCAAGTGGCTTTACGTCCTGTCCTTAACCTGGGCACGCCTCAGCCTCCACATATGTAGAACAGGAAAATACCCGTTATAAGGCTGTAATACATGTCTTCCCATTCATTGATAAATTGGTTTGGAGAAAAAGACACAAGTGAGATCATTTAAAAGTTAAGTGTGGGCATCTTGCACACGGAAACAGGAACAAAACCAGCATTTTAGTAGCCAAGTCTCTGAGGGTACACTTCAGCTCCAGTTAGGACTTGTCGCCTGTGCAGCGGCAGACAAACTCCTACCACAGCAACTGTGAAACTGGACACAAGGAACGAATGGCTACTTACAGGGTTTGGCCATAGGACAGTGCGACCTATGATCCTTGGAAGAAACACAGACGGTGACTTCCATATTTCCCTCTTTTTTAAAAAAAATATATATATATTTTAAATCATTTTATTGGGGGCTCGTACAACTCATCACAATCCATACAAACATAAATTGTGTAAAGCATATTTGTACATTCATTACCCTCATCATTCTCAAAACATTTGCTCTCCTTTACATCAAGCCCCTGGCATCAGCTCATTTTCCCCCCTCCCTCCCAGCTCCCCACTCCCTCATGAACCCTTGATCATTTATAAATTATTATTTTGTTATATCTTACACTGTCTGACATCTCCCTTTACTCACTTTTCTGTTGTCTGTCCCCCAGGGAGGAGGTTTTATGTAGATTCCTGTAATCAGTTCCTCCTTTCCACCCCACCCTCCCTCCACCCTCCCGGTATCGCCACTCTCAGCACTGGTCCTGAAGGGATTATCTGTCCTGGATTCCCAGTGTTTCTAGTTCCTATCTGCACCAGTGTACATCCTCTGGTCTAGTCAGATTTGTAAAGTAGAATTGGGATTATGCTAGTGGGTGGAGAGAAAGAATTTAGGAACAATAGGAAAGTTTTATGTTTCATTGTTGCTACACTGCACCAACTGACTCGTCTCCTCCCTGCAACCCTTCTGTAAGGGGATATCCAGTTGCCTGCAGATGGGCTTTGGGTCCCTACTCCACACTCACCCTCATTTACAATGATATGATTTTTTGTTCTTTGATGCCTGATAGCTCATCCCTTTGACACCTTGTGATCACATAGGCTGGTGTGCTTCTTCTGTGTGGGCTTTGTTGCTTCTGAGCTAGATGACCGCTTGTTTACCTTCAAGTCTTCAAGACCCCAGACGCTGTATCATTTGATAGCCGGGCACCATCAGCTTTCTTTACCACATTTGCTTATGCACTCATTTGTCTTCAGTGATAGTATTGGGGAGTTGAGCACCCAACAATATGATTTTTGTTCTTTGATACCTGATACCTCATCCCTTCAGCACCTTGTAATCACAGAGGCTGGTTTGCTTCTTCCATGTGGGCTTTGTTGCTTCTGAGCTAGTTGGCCACTTGTTCATCTTCAAGCCTTTAAGACCCCAGTTGCTATAACTTTTGATAGCCAGGCAACTTCCATATTTCTCATGGCTTTTCATTGGATGCATCTTCCGCACCATGGCTTGGGGAATTGATAACCAAACAAATAAGACAAACCAAATTGGAGCTGAGAGCTGCTAGAGAAGCTGAAGCTTATGTGGCAAGGTACCTTAGGAGGGAGCCACAGAACCTGCCTGAGGGGTGGTTCTCTTGAACCTTCGGCCCTATCACAAGTGGTGCACATGCAGCGCCAGACTCAAGCAGGCCAGGCAGAGAGCAGTTTCTGAGGGGTGTGGAGCCAAGAGATTTTTAATTTTTACTTGTTTATTTTTAAATCATTTTATTGGGGACTCGTACAACTCTTATCACAACCCATCCATTGTGTCAGAGCCAACAGAGTTTAGACGCTGCACTGTGCTGGAGGCCTGCTGGAGCCCTGACCCAGTCAGAGTACACAGACTCGGGTTAACACCTCAAGAACTCATTGGTGCTTCCAGAACAGCCATACTGCTAGAGGTGAAGATCTTATTCTAGGAGTAATAGTGATATTCTAGGGCCCGGGACAGGGGACTCTGGTGAAAGGGACTTCAGAGTTACTTGTGCTGTTCTAGAAACTTTTCTGTGAAGTTGCAATTACAAACTAGTTTTCAAAATGACTGTTTTTGTAACTAAGATATAATAGTACAGTGAACCCTCGCCACTTCGCGCTTCGACTTGCGCGGCTTCACTCTATCACGGTTTTTGCGTTAACAGCGCATGCTCTGTCATTA